GCATTGAAGATGAAACGTGGCTGGGTCTTTCAGCATGACAATGATCCCAAACACACCGCCCGGGCAACGAAGGAGTGGCTTCGTAAGAAGCATTTCAAGGTCCTGGAGTGGCCTAGCCAGTCTCCAGATCTCAACCCCATAGAAAATCTTTGGAGGGAGTTGAAAGTCCGTGTTGCCCAGCGACAGCCCCAAAACATCACTGCTCTAGAGGAGATCTGCATGGAGAAATGGGCCAAAATACCAGCAACAGTGTGTGAAAACCTTGTGAAGACTTACAGAAAACGTTTGACCTGTGTCATTGCCAACAAAGGGTATATAACAAAGTATTGAGAAACTTTTGTTATTGACCAAACACTTATTTTCCACCATAATTTGCAAATAAATTCATTAAAAATCCTACAATGTGATTTTCTGGAAAAAAAAATCTCATTTTGTCTGTCATAGTTGACGTGTACCTATGATGAAAATTACAGGCCTCTCTCATCTTTTTAAGTGGGAGAACTTGCACAATTGGTGGCTGACTAAATACTTTTTTCCCCCCACTGTAGCCATAGCTTCCTTGTACTTGTATATGGGCGATTCTACAGAAGTGGTGCAAATTGAAGCCCCACCCCAAAATAACTATAAAAAAAAATATTTTATGTCTCCAAACTTAGGACATTTATTTACATCATGATATGTTCTAATTCAATCCAAGGCAATAACAAACATATTGTTGAATTAATAGTGTACTAAGTCATTGTTTATACACCGATTTCTATAGAGAGGTGGCTGTCCCAAACCCTGACTCCTAAACTTCATGTTTGAAAATAAAGCAATTTTTTACACTACTATTTCAATAGAACATCTTGAGTTGTTCTATTATTACATTGAAAGATACTGATCTAATTAGTACTATTGTTTAATTTAAAACATATTTTTCAACAAAATGCTGTCCCACCTTTTGATGTCACTACCGAAACACACACATTTAAAGACTGTAGAATGAATGTGCCTTAAACCACAACCCTACAAATATCACCAGGTGATGGGATTGCACCCCTCTCCAGCATGGCCACATGATGAGTAGACAGTCTACAAACATTTTAGAGAAAATTAGTGAGTAAGTTGGTCAATCTTCATATATTTTTAAGTTGTGTGACTACCGAACATCTAGTATATCACGAAATATGTAAACGTACGGTTCTGGGATGTACATCTGCCCAAATGAAAGATAGCCAGCTATATGTCAAAATATTCCAAACCGAAACGGTCACAACCGAAACAATTGACACCATAGAGATATATAGAAGTCTCATCTTTGTATCTGTGCCATCATAGCGTCTGTGACAGCACGCACAGCACCATTGAGGCTATGTGCCATGCTCTACCAACTGAGGAAGAGAGGACCACCATGTGGGTAGTGGACAAGTGTACACTTCAGGAAAAAGTATAGAGCATTGAGATGCATAACCAGCATGGGGGCTCCAACCCTCCAAGAGCCCTACACTGACATCTATTTGGCCAAAACATAGACACCTTTAATGTGCTATACTGTACTGTATCCTACTGTACTGTACTGTACTCAAATGTATCCTACTTGAGTTTCTTACATTTTAAGAAAGGGCTCATGAACTCTTGATCTAGTGGTCTTGGTCAAGACCACTCAAAACCACATAAATTCAGAGTTATATCCATCTAGTGTCCTCCATTTATCTCTATGACACCGAAACCGTTATTTTGCCAAAATAAAGATAGGTAAAGTGATCATTTAAACATCTAAAAACATCATTCATTAAATGCATAAGTAATTCAGTCATTCAACAAGTTTCGGATTCATACAATCAACATTGAACATTTTACAGCGAACAATAGAGATTATATTTCTCTAAATAAAATGTAAAGGTTTTGAAAATCAGGTTAAAAATCAAGTTTTTGAATTTTGTTAATTTGGTATGCAAATAAATAAATAAAAATGCATCTGTAATACGTTAATCAAAATGATCACTACTGTGCATGGTTCTTTCTTTATTGCAACTTTTTCACTATGTTTCGGTAGTGACATATTTAGTCGGGTGGTAAGGAATTCAGGTCAAATATTCAATACAAACAAAGTGTGTGAGTAGCATATACAGTATGTCTACATGAGATATGTTGGAAGACATGTTTGCTGAAAGTTTGGGAAAAATAGGATACAAATGTGATTATTTTTTTTTTTACCCTCGATTTGCACCTCTTCTGTAGAATGACCCATATAGGCTGTAACATGGGGCTTTTCACTCCACTGGGCTATTTGATGTGAAGAGCAGTTTGGATTTTGCACTGCACTGAAAGAGAGACATGTGGGGAAAGGCACTACCATAGTTAAAGCGGCAATCAGCAGTAGAAACAATAACAAAGATTGTCCCCGTCCCTGTTTCGGTAAAAGCTGAGGGATGGGGCTGGAGAAATGTAACCACTCTCAAATTTTTTGACAGAGCTATGGATGCAAGGACTGACCGTCCATGATATTAAAATGATAGTTTTAACCATGTTTTTAGGCTATACTGTGGTTGTTTACATTTACTTTGTTTACAAACATTAGAGTAAAACAAGTTTATATTTTGGGTTCTGATGGGGTACGACACTTGAATTAAGCTCATGAGGCATATATAAGTTATATTCTTCAAGAATCAATGGGTACATACTGTTAATTTATAAGTCCAAAAATGGATGTAGCAACTGCTGATTGCCCCTTTAATTATTAAAAACAGAAGTAAGGGAAAGTCCAGCATAGATAAGAGATAGGGGGAAATATTATGGTCCGTTTGCCAGTGTACACCTTTGTCTTGGAATATCTTTCTTGTGTTGCGTAACAGTGGACTACTAGTAAATTCACTTTGTATTATTCCAAACACTTTCAAGTGCTGTGGACCAACGGCACTTCTTCACTCCTCAGTCAATTACATTTTGGTACGTATCCAAGCATTAATACGTCATGATATGCAGGCATGTTCTTAAAACCCTTGTTGCGTTTTAGAAACAATGAAACGCAGACCGTGAAACTGGAAGATAAGATACAAGAACAGAATGAGATTAGAGGCAAAAATGGACTACTGCATGCAGGTGATAAGAAGATGGGGTCCTTGTCTCTTGTGCCAGGCACATCCATTCATTGTGTAGTCTGTCAATGGGCTGTTAGTGCAGGAGTAGTCCCACGTCTCCCTCCGTCAACCAAAGTCTATCCGTGGCCGATATTCTAGTACCATTGGGTAGGCCTGAAAGAGAGAGATGACATTGGTCACCCTTGGACAGAATCCACTACAATAGAGACAATAATGAGAGAATAAGGTATGTAGATGTTATAACATTGTAAGAATACCATATATACACAGTAGGCTTGCAGGGGGACTTGCTACCTAGAACACAAAAACAACCCAATCTGATGTGCTGCTTCATCTATACGGATTGTAACTTCGTAGCCAGGATATGTTGCAGGGGGAGGAAAGGTACGAGAGCAGAGCAGAGGGAATGTGATGAGGAGAGAAGAGTCTGATGCCAAAGCAGGTGACAGTGAAAGACACACTCCACAGACACATCACATCAAGGTGGTCTATTTTTAGAAAGGCAGGCAGACATACAGCAGCGGTAGGCAGGAGACACTTATGTACAATCCCAAAGGGAAGGGAAATTAGTCGGCCCACACTGACCCAGTTCCTGGTCATTTGGTCCAGGGGAGGAGAGGAATTCATTCTAGGCACAGAGCTATCACCTATTCTGCACAGTGGGACAATGCCAAATTTGGTCATGTGAGATCAGTAATATTGTCATCTGATTTTTGGGGGGTTCAACGTTGATCTCTACATTACATATGGTTCTTATAAGCTAGAGGGATTTACTCCTGCCTTCCTTGGTTCTTGGAATCAGAACATTCTGCCTAAGGACTGAGGAGTGAAGACGACGGTATTTTAAGCTTAACCTGTCTTTAACGCAAGCCTAAATTAGCAGAGTATCATTCAAAACAGGGAAATCAATTGAACAATTAAAACTGTACAGTTTACGTGGCCTTAGGGGTGTTGTATGTTGTAACTAAACCAGGGCCTAGTGCTGAGCAATTAACCGAAATGTTGGAACAGATTGTCCCACTTTAACGGTTCAATTATTTGAATTCCATTTTGTTCTATTTTCTCCTGTGAGCTCAATGCACAGTTTCTCTAGAGAGAAATCAGATCAAGCCCGAACTGTGCGATGTAGTAGGCAGTTGTAGTTTCCAACAGGCCAATATTCTACATAGTTTAGAGCAGAAAACTTGGTAATTAACTACAATGACCATAATCCATTGCGTGCCTACTTGTCCGGTCTGTGTGTGGCAGACAGAGAGGGAGAGAAGAGACGGAAGAAGAACGCGCAATCGAGAGGATAGAGAGCAGTTGTTTCGCGAAGTATCTCTACCTGAAAATACATGATCTAAGTGATTGATAGTTAGTATACAGCAGTCATAAGAGTATGCCTTTACTTTGAAGAACTACTAAAATATTGATTTTGTCAGACAGCATAGGCAGCAGCTCAATAGAGATGATGAATTGGAATGAAATAATGTCATCAAATAAAACAAATGTAATATAAACAACATCAATATTTTTATTAAAGTAAATGTGAATTAATTATGGTTAATAATCACTACCATCATGGGACTTTTATTAATTGTTTTATTCTGTGTTGTGCAGGCCGTCGTTGTAAATAAGAATTTGTTCTTAACTGACTTGCCTAGTTAAATAAAGGTTAAATAAAATGTTAAATAAAAAAAATTGCATTCTACCCACATAATGCATAGTGCATTTCTTGTTGAAAGAAATGATCGAAACCGAAAACCGTGATTATTTTTTGGAATAATCGAACTTAAAACGAACCGACCTCAAAAAGCACTACTCGCTCAGCACTATTAAAAGACACCTCTATTGAGCCAGTGGTGATAAACTGGCAGTGGAAGGGGAGAGTGTCAGGCGATGAGCCCAGGAACAGGCACCCTGTTGGGGCAGCTGTCAGGGGCCTTCACTGCTTTCCTCACCTATCTCCCTGGACCAATACAGCGATTCATGACCTGACCCCGTGCTGCCGGAGCCCAGACCAGCCCATCTAAAAGTGACAATCATCAGCAATGGAATGAGCAGCCAAGGCGCCCGGCTAGCAGAAATGCTTATGAGGTCAAGCTGAAGTGTGTTAGTTAGTTAACCTAGCACACTTTGCAGAGGACTTGGGGCGCTTGGTTAAGTTTACGCATGGTTGACTGAAGTTCAGGTCAAGACGTAGCGACCACAACATAGGCCTATCTTTTGTGAGGTGACCAAGAAGAAAGTGGGTTCATTTTGGATTCATTGAGGAAGAGAAGCAGCCATATCTCAACTGTGTTTTGCCATGACCTATCAATACCAAACTAGCTTTGCAAATGTCTCCAATAGTGTATAGTACCATTACATACACACTGTGAACCAACAACTTAATTCACCATACTACTTCACAGCTTTTATTCTTTCTCGGACAACGTATCCAGACATGCTTTGATGCGAACCTATAGTGCCAGACTCATCTTACAGCTGTCCTGTAATAAGCTCTAGTAACCGTGTCACTGCTACTTCCTGTTTGCTGTACCGGTTGACACGGTAGAGTGACGGTGGTATTTCAGACGGCTAACCGGCTAACCGGCTAACCGGCTAATCGGCTAACCGGCTTAAAGCCAAGCAAGCAGTGACTGTCATGGAGACTATTAAGACTCCAGCACCGTCATTCAGCGCCCCCAGCTTATCCCCTGGCGAGAAAGGTACGGAGCTTAGCATCTTTCTAAATGAGGGGAACAGGAGGGGGGGGGGCATTGACGTCATTGGGGGCTTACTTACGGTTTCACCGCGAAGTCTCCATCGCGTCATGTAGATGAACTCCATGGTGTGGTCTTTTCCCATGATCTCCCCGTTGCATAGGACGTCTAGCTGTGAGGGAGGGGACACAGAGGCTGGTGACTAAGAGGTAGACTACTATGGGACGACAGTCAGAGTACAGGCTGCTAGAGAAGAAGACTAGAGTTCGACATATCTCCCTTTCTCATACCGGTCAGACAAAAGGACAAGGACTCACATATCTCTTAATGGAGAGAATGTGGCAGACATTGTACATAGAGAAAGCTGGGAAACATTTTATCATAGCTTTTATTAATAATCCATTAGAAATGTGTATGAATGCTTTTAAATGCCTAGAAATGTTTATACATGCTGGAAGGGAAATCTATCAATGGTACATTCACTACTTCTAAATAGTTAGTGAATGTGTTCCTGTGTGTATTGCATCTCTAATATCTTAGTGCTCTGGAGTCCCACACTCTTAGAAAAAAAGGTTCCAAAAGGGTTCTTCCACTGTCCCCAAAGGAGAACCATTTTTGGTTCCAGGTAGAACTCTTTTGGGTTCCATGTAGAACCCTCTGCGGAAAGGGTTCTACATGGAACTCAAAAGAGTTCTACCTGAAACCAAAAATGTTCTACCTGGAACCAAAAAGGGTTATTCAAAGAAGAAGAACCCTTTTAGGTTTTAGATAGCAGTTTTTTTCTAAGAGTGCAGCGAGAGTAAGTACAGCCTCGGTGCAGCAGGGGGCCTGCTAACAAGGCCAGCCCTTTCCCCCACAACACTAAACACACAGGAGAGACTGCTAACAAGGCCAGCCCTTTCCCCCACAACACTAAACACACAGGAGAGACTGCTAACAAGGCCAGCCCTTTCCCCCCACAACACTAAACACACAGGAGAGACTGCTAACAAGGCCAGCCCTTTCCCCCACAACACTAAACACACAGGAGAGACTGCTAACAAGGCCAGCCCTTTCCCCCACAACACTAAACACACAGGAGAGACTGCTAACAAGGCCAGCCCTTTCCCCCACAACACTAAACACACAGGAGAGACTGCTAACAAGGCCAGCCCTTTCCCCCACAACACTAAACACACAGGAGAGACTGCTAACAAGGCCAGCCCTTTCCCCCACAACACTAAACACACAGGAGAGACTGCTAACAAGGCCAGCCCTTTCCCCCACAACACTAAACACACAGGAGAGACTGCTAACAAGGCCAGCCCTTTCCCCCACAACACTAAACACACAGGAGAGACTGCTAACAAGGCCAGCCCTTTCCCCCACAACACTAAACACACAGGAGAGACTGCTAACAAGGCCAGCCCTTTCCCCCACAACACTAAACACACAGGAGAGACTGCTAACAAGGCCAGCCCTTTCCCCCACAACACTAAACACACAGGAGAGACTGCTAACAAGGCCAGCCCTTTCCCCCACAACACTAAACACACCAGGAGAGACTGCTAACAAGGCCAGCCCTTTCCCCCACAACACTAAACACACAGGAGAGACTGCTAACAAGGCCAGCCCTTTCCCCCACAACACTAAACACACAGGAGAGACTGCTAACAAGGCCAGCCCTTTCCCCCACAACACTAAACACACAGGAGAGACTGCTAACAAGGCCAGCCCTTTCCCCCACAACACTAAACACACAGGAGAGACTGCTAACAAGGCCAGCCCTTTCCCCCACAACACTAAACACACAGGAGAGACTGCTAACAAGGCCAGCCCTTTCCCCCACAACACTAAACACACAGGAGAGACTGCTAACAAGGCCAGCCCTTTCCCCCACAACACTAAACACACAGGAGAGACTGCTAACAAGGCCAGCCCTTTCCCCCACAACACTAAACACACAGGAGAGACTGCTAACAAGGCCAGCCCTTTCCCCCACAACACTAAACACACAGGAGAGACTGCTAACAAGGCCAGCCCTTTCCCCCACAACACTAAACACACAGGAGAGACTGCTAACAAGGCCAGCCCTTTTCCCCACAACACTAAACACACAGGAGAGACTGCTAACAAGGCCAGCCCTTTCCCCACAACACTAAACACACAGGAGAGACTGCTAACAAGGCCAGCCCTTTCCCCCACAACACTAAACACACAGGAGAGACTGCTAACAAGGCCAGCCCTTTCCCCCACAACACTAAACACACAGGAGAGACTGCAGGGACAGCTGCTGTATGTGAGGTCCACACAATGCTGACATAAAGGGACAAATATTCAATAGTATATATGGGCTTAATATCTGTCATACAGTAGATACATACGAAAGGGTATAGAGCACGTACAAAAGCTTAGTTGGTTACCTCATAAGAACTTGGAAGCTTTAACTTCAAGCTGAGAAACTTCTTGATTGTTCCGACTGTCACTCGAGTCGAGCAGCGTATAAATTTCTTCATTAAGCCCTAGAGTGGAGGTTCAGAAGATGATTTTAATGATTCAGGCACATCTCCCAATTTATTCAGAATTATGTGAATCAATACGTTTCAAAGAGCCATTTTCTGGTTTAAAAAATATATTTTTCATGAATGCATAATTAAGTTCAATTAGTGCATTTAATACTAATAGCAACCTTTTGGCACAGAGAAACTGATTCTAAATTTTACCTTAATATGAAACCATTATGATCCTCCTCTCCTCTCCTCTCCTCTCTCCTCTCTCCACATATTCACTGTTCTGCCTTCCAATTATTGACAGAAACACATACAGTGCATTCGGAAAGTATTCAGACCCCTTGACTTTTCCCACATTTTGTTACATTACAGCCGTATTCTATAATGGATTAAATGTTTTTTTTTCTCTCGTCAATCTACACACAATACCCCATAATGACAAAGCAAAAAATAAACTTAAATATCACATTCACATAAGTATTCAGACCCTTTACTCAGTACTTTGTTGAAGCACTTTTGGCAGCGAATACAGCCTCGAGTCTTCTTGGGTATGACGCTACAAGCTTGGCACAACTGTATTTGGGAGTTTCTCCCATTCTTCTCTGCAGATCCTCTCAAGCTCTGTCAGGTTGGATGGGGAGCGTCGCTGCACAGCTATTAGATCAGGTTCAAGTCCGGGCTCTGGCTGGGCCAGTCAAGGACATTCAGAGACTTGTCCCGAAGCCACTCCTGCATTGTCTTGACTGTGTGCTTAGGGTTGTTGTCCTGTTGGAAGGTGAACCTTTGCCCTAGTCTGAGGTCCTGAGTGCTCTGGAGCAGGTTTTCATCAAGGATCTCTCTGTACTTTGCTCTGTTCATCTTTCCCTAGATCCTGACTAGTCTCCCAGTCCCTGCCGCTGAAAAACATCCCCACACCATGATGCTGCCACCACCATGCTTCACTGTAGGGATGGTGCCAGGTTTCCTCCAGACGTGATGCTTGGCATTCAGGCCAAAGAGTTCAATCTTGCTTTCATCAGACCAGATAATTTTGTTTCTCATGGTCTGAGAGTCTTTAGCTGCCTTTTGGCAAACTCCAAGCGGGCTGGCATGTGCCTTATACTGAGGAGTGGCTTCCGTCTGGCCACTCTTCCATAAAGGCCTGATTGGTGGAGTGCTGCAGAGATGGTTGTCCTTCTGGAAGGTTCTCCCATCTCCAAAGAGGAACTCTGGAGCTCTGTCAGAGTGACCATCGGGTTCTTGGTCACCTCCCTGACCAAGGCCCTTCCTCCCCAGATTGCTCAGTTTGGCTGGAAGAGTCTTGGTGGTTCCAAACTTCTTCCATTTAAGAATGATGGAGGCCACTGTGTTCTTGTGGACCTTCAATGCTGCAGACATTTTTTGGTACCCTTGCAAGATCTCTGCCTCGACACAATCCTGTCTCGGAGCTCTACGGTCAATTCCTTCGATCTCATGGCTAGGTTTTTGATCAACTGTGGGACCTTTATATAGACAGGTGTGTGCCTTTTCCAAATCATGTCCAATCAATTGAATTCACCACAGGTGGACTCCAATCAAGTTGTAGAAACATCTGAAGGATGATCAATGGAAACAGGATGCACCTGAGCTCAATTTCGAGTCTCACAGCAAAAGGTCTGAATACGTATGTAAATAAGGTATTTCTGTTTTTATTTGTAATACACTTGCAAAAAAATCTAAAAACCTGTTTTGGCTTTGTCATTATGGGGTATTGTGTGTAGATTGATGAGGAAATTTATGAAATCCATTTTAGAATAAGGGTGTAATGTAACAAAATGTGGAAAAAGTCAATGCACTGAATGTTATAATGAGGGACACTATATTAACGAAAACAATTAGTGGTGGGCTGGATTAACACTTGCTGTTAGATGAGTGTCTGGCTGACTGACCAGCTTTCAATGACAGCCCAAGAAATAAAGGAAAACCACACATGTTTTCAGACACGTGAATGTGTGTGAACAAATCAGAATGATTATTTTTATTTTTCACAAGTCAGACACGTGGTTTTCGGACACGTGTGAAATGTCACATGTACACATCTTTACATGTGGTTTCCCTTGTGGACATTTTTTTCCCCCATGTTTCCGCATGTACATTTTTTTACATGTAAAATTTTTACACCATTTCCAGCTACATCTGGTCTCCCATACAGGGACCGACCCTACTTATCTTCAGAAGCAAACCAGCAGTGGGATGCAGGGTGCTATGTTGCTGGAATACATGTGCTAAAACTTGCAACTGGAAAAAAGGTAGCGAAAGCAAAGGCCAGCGTAACATGACCAAAGATAGGGAAGATTTCAGGACAAAGGGAGGCGTTTTATTTAATCACATTATCATTAAAAAAGATATACAGTGAGGGAAAAAAGTATTTGATGCCCTGCTGATTTTGTACGTTTGCCCACTGACAAAGACAGATCAGTCTATAATTTTAATGGTAGGTTTATTTGAATAGTGAGAGACAGAATAACATCAAAAAAATCCAGAAAAACGCATGTCAAAAATGTTATCAATTGATTTGCATTTTAATGAGGGAAATAAGTATTTGACCCCTCTGCAAAACATGACTTAGTACTTGGTGGCAAAACCCTTGTTGGCAATCACAGAGGTCAGACGTTTCTTGTAGTTGGCCACCAGGTTTGCACACATCTCAGGAGGGATTTTGTCCCACTCCTCTTTGTAGATCTTCTCCAAGTCATTAAGGTTTCGAGGCTGACGTTAGGCAACTCGAACCTTCCGCTCCCTCCACAGATTTTCTATGGGATTAAGGTCTGGAGACTGGCTAGGCCACTCCAGGACCTTAATGTGCTTCTTCTTGAGCCACTCCTTTGTTGCCTTGGCCGTGTGTTTTGGGTCATTGTCATGCTGGAATACCCATCCACGACCCATTTTCAATGCTCTGGCTGAGGGAAGGAGGTTCTCACCCAAGACATGACGGTACATGGCCCCGTCCATCGTCCCTTGGATGCGGTGATGTTGTCCTGTCCCCTTAGCAGAAAAACACCCCCAAAGCATAACGTTTCCACCTCCATGTTTGATGGTGGGGATGGTGTTCTTGGGGTCATAGGCAGCATTCCTCCTCCTCTAAACACGGCGAGTTGAGTTGATGGCAAAGAGCTCGATTTTGGTCTCATCTGACCACAACACTTTCACCCAGTTCTCCTCGGAATCATTCAGATGTTCATTGGCAAACTTCAGACGGGCCTGTATATGTGCTTTCTTGAGGATTTCAGTCCTTCACGGCGTAGTGTGTTACCAATTGTTTTCTTGGTGACTATGGTCCCAGCTGCCTTGAGATCAATGACAAGATCCTCCCGTGTAGTTCTGGGCTGATTCCTCACTGTTCTCATGATCATTGCAACTCCACGAGGTGAGATATTGCATGGAGCCCCAGGCTGAGGGAGATTGAGAGTTCTTTTGTGTTTCTTCCATTTGCGAATAATCGCTCCAACTGTTGTCACCTTCTCACCAAGCTGCTTGGCGATGGTCTTGTAGCCCATTCCAGCCTTGTGTAGGTCTACAATCTTGTCCTTGACATCCTTGGAGAGCTCTTTGGTCTTGGCCATGGTGGAGAGTTTGGAATCTGATTGATTGATTGCTTCTGTGGACAGGTGTCTTTTATACAGGTAACAAGCTGAGATTAGGAGCACTCCCTTTAAGAGTGTGCTCCTAATCTCAGCTCGTTACCTGTATAACAGACAACTGGGAGCCAGAAATCTTTCTGATTGAGAGGGGGTCAAATACTTATTTCCCTCATTAAAAAATGCAAATCAATTTATAACATTTTTGACATGTGTTTTTCTGGATTTTTGTTGTTGTTATTCTGTCTCTCACTGTTCAAATAAACCTACCATTAAAATTATAGACTGATAATTTCTTTGCCAGTCGGCAAACGTACAAAATCAGCAGGGGATCAAATACCTTTTTTCCCTCACTGTATATATAGAAAAAATGTTTTGGGCATTCATTTACAATTGTTTTCATTTTTTTTCGCATTTCAAAATGATTTCCTTGCAATATTTTGTTTTGCTATCAATACTTTTGGGTTTATATTTTGCTTTCAATATCATTATTTTTGTTTGCTATACTAATATTTTTTTAACTTGATATTATTGGCACAAAAGTAAGTCACTCACTAGAGGATTGCACCATATAATAACACTATTACACTATTACTCCCTGCCACAGTTTTAGTGAAAAGCTGAGGGATGGGGCTGGAGAAATGAAACCACTCAAATCCATAGACTATGCTATGGATGTAAGGACTGACCATCCATGATATCAAAATGATAGTTTTAACCATGTTTTTAGGCTATACTGTGGTTGTTTACATTTACTTTGGTTACAAACATTAGAGCAAAACAAGTGTATATTTGGGTTCTGATGGGGTACGACAGTTGAACTAAGCTCATGAGGCATTTATGCTTTGTATATTTAAGAATCAATGGGTTCATATCATTACTTTAGAAGTCCAAAAATGTATGTAGCGACTAAGGATTGCCCCTTTAACAGGCAGTTACCTTCATACAGCAGAACTATGTCGCCATTTGAACGTGATCCATTAACCTGCCCCCCAAAAAATGTATTCTGTCCACTGTTCCGTGAATGTCTCACAAAATCGTTCCCTTGTCCCGCATTTGGGCTGTTTAGATGTGGTCACCTGTTACAGATTTAGGGTTTTCCATTTATATTTCGAGGTAGCGCGTTAGCAGCTCGTTAGTAAGTACATGTTACAACAGTGCTGGCTTGCCCATCTTGTTAGTCGGAAGGTGTTTCACCTCTGCTAGCCCAGGTAGTATTTAAGAGTGGCTGGCCCAGTGCTCCAGCGGTTCTTGAGAGAGTGGGAATGAGAGATGTTGGAAGTGCTTGACCGCGGATTAGCTCTTCCTCTTTGAGTGTGATAAAAACAAATACTTTTATCTTGTGTTCTCCCCCTTAGGTTTGCTCCACTTGCTTTTATCTCCATATTCTAAATTGGTGTGGGTTTTTATTTTGGTTTGCCTTTTCTGGGGCAAATTTAGTGGGCATTCTTTTAGGACCCAGACTCTTGTTGATAGTCAACTTTCAGTGGACAACCTCCATGAGTGTCTTTGAGAACCCCTACTAAAACCCACCTGTTTCTGTTTTGTTTGGTTGATTGTCTTTGTTAGTTCCCTTTGTTGTGAGCGACATTTTGAGTTTGTCTTCTGGGAACGTATCCGGTGGAAACACCATCTTTTCACATGAGGAGAATAACATTATTTCAACCCCACATGTGAATCTACACTTCCACATGTGAAAGTGAGTTTTTCACTGGCAAAGGTGGTGTTATCATGTCAACTCTAAATTGAATACAATAAATATGGTTTCACGTGGGAAATTTAAGCTCAATGTGAAACTGCAAATTTGACATGTGCTTTTTGTTGTTGTAAGGGCACAGCACCATTGTCTGTCTATATTCTGTTCAACTCACATTCTGAGATGTTAGACAGAGGGACATAATGGAGAAAGCTTGATAATACTGTACCTAACCCAATCAGCCTAAAAAAAGTGGGAGGAATAATGTTAGGGAGACAGGGAAGAGAGAGAGCTCTCCACCATGACTTACCTTAACAATGTTCTCTCCCACCAGGCTTTTGTTGAGTAGACAGTCCAGACAGATGGCTATCTGAGGGTCACTCCTGTGGTAGTCTCCATCGCCACCATCATCATCATCGTCGTCATCCAGCCTGGATCTCTTCGATCGGGGGCCATCTTCTATGACAAATAAATTGATAAGTATGTTATGTGTGAGCAAGAGCACACACTGTGTGGATACAAGTTGCGTTTGTTTTCCTTGAATTCATATAAAACTGTGAAAAGACACACTTCACAATAGGACAGTTTTGATTGATACCGATGTCTTTCGCTTTTCACCTAGAAATGCAATATCATAAAAGACCTTTGGGAGAAATTGTCGATCATCACATTGCCATGGGGATGGCATTTGAGTCTGGCGGACCGAATCCATCCATCTTTTTAGTCATTCTGTTGTTTCCATCTCATTTGTACCTCATAAACAGGGGGATCTCGTCAGTGCCTTGTAGGGTGTGATGGAATATTCTCTCTCCTAGCTCTCCCGCCAGCTCATCTCCATCCTCCATGAGCGAGACTCCGCTCCGCGAGCGCCCGCCTCTCGTCTCGCTCGCGCTCGCTCTCTCTCTCTTCTCCTCTCTCCTCTCTATCTCTCCTCTATCTCTCTCTCTCTCTCTCTCTCACTCACACTCTACACTCACTCACACTCACACTCACACACACACACACACAGCCACCTACAGTCACTGCAACAATGGAACCTGAGTCACATCTCCTCACTGACCTCTCCCACATAGAGCCTCCTTACCTATCACCTCAATAACCAATCACAGCCCACCTCTGCCCACCCAAGCCTCCCCGAGTGGGTTGATTCTGGTCCCTCCTGAGAACGGTCTTGGTCTTCACAGACACACTAACACAGATTTTACCTTCTCCATTCTCCTTTAACTTCCGACTCCTCCAGAACTCGATCTCCTGCTGTTGTTCCTCTAGTCAATAAACAAAAAGAGAAGATATGAATAAACAGGGCAGGGGTTATATAATTCAGGACAAATAGAAAACAGCTTGGCCTACTAGCAAAGGCAAGATTTATATCTGATGTTGGTGGATACTAAAATCACTCACTTTCTCTTAGCCCAGGCACGAGTTTGAAAATGATTTCCTCTAAAGTGTTGTCCAACCTGGCGATAGAATGAGACGTAAAGGAAGAATAAAAGTAAGTACACAAACACACACACACACACACTTATTCCCAGACATTGCATCTGTGGGCTGGGCACTGGGTGAGGTCTTCAGCTGGAACCTTGGCTCCAGAATGGCGTCCAGCTGTTGCTTGGATCTCACCACAGCCAAGCTCAAGTTCCCCCCATCCTCCCCCAGCCCAGCCCACACCAGCCTTAACATCTCACTAGTCGGGTGGACAACTGAAGGGTGCAAACTCAGATCTGCCAAAATCCAGCTAGGGCCAGTTCAGTAGTGCAAAGGCCAGCATGTTTTTACATTACTGATGGTAATCTATTCAGTAGTATTCATTATGTTCCTGTGATTCACAATAGGGAAAATATGAATGCAGATGAGATTCTGTCAGATGTAAAATGAGGTGCATTACCTTAACATCTCTAGAGGGTTGGTTTCATGGACTTGGATGCCGCATTTGGGGCAGTCATTGCTGTCTTCAAAGTGTTGGACGACGCAACTTTTACAAACTGTTAACAGAATAAAGGAGACAGAGAGAAAAATTGTTTATTTTCTCCAAATACAGACCTAAAGTAAATATGGATTTTTATCACACCATTGGTCCTCTGTAGCTCAATTGGTAGAGCATGGCACTTGTAACGCCAGGGTAGTGGGTTCGATCCCCGGGACCACCCATATGTGAAAATGTATGCACACATGACTGTAAGTCGCTTTGGATAAAAGCGTCTGCTAAATGGCATATTATTATTATTATTATTATTATTATTATTATATTATTATTCAGGTGGCAAATAAATGCCAAGATGACTGCAGTTTCTCTTTTCGTATCCCTTTCTCTCAGATAATCTTCACAATAAAAGGATTTTGAGTTGAAAACCAAAAGGAAAAGCATTCTAATTTCTAATTTCTCAAGTTTGAACTTGATGAACATCAAAGTATCTGTTGAGCCTTGAAGCATGACTAAAAGCTCAGTCCTGAAGTTGAAATTGAAACTGTGGACTGGTACGGAGATAAGGAAATATTGGGTATAACCTGGCCAGTTCTAAGTGCATCTATCACACTGTAGCCAGACAGAACACACAGACACACAGCAACAGCAGTCAATACCACACGCACACGCGCACACACACACATATACCATTGCATACAGTATAATATATAGCTTTATCTTTCTTTAAAGAACACCAATCTGATTCCATGCAATATTGAGCTGAGGATTAGGCCTATATCCTATGATGTGACGTCACCAAACTGTCAGAAAAAATCACATCTGTCACAAGGAGCAGAAATATAGGTCACAGTCTGCCCTCTAGCAATTTCCATGTAAACAGTATATGCTTATGCACTATGCACTGGCCTATAACCTAGATCAACGTACAGTATTATACAGAGCCATGATTGCATGGAACTCCCTTCCATGTCAAAAAACAGATAAAGCAGGGCCTCCCAAGTGGGCCGGGTGCCTGCACGCTGACTACGGTCACCAGCTGTACGGCGTTTCCTCCGACACATTGGTGCGGCTGGCTTCCGGGTTAAGCGAGCGGTGTGTCAAGAAGCAGTGCGGCTTGGCGGGGTCGTGTTTCGGAGGACGCGTGTCTCTCGACATTTGCCTCTCCCGAGTCCGTACGGGAGCTGCAGCGATGGGACAAGACTGTAACTACCAATTGCATATCACGAAATTGGGGAGAAAAAGAGTGTAAAAAAACACAAAAATAAATAAATGAAAAGGTAAACCAACACCTCACAGCACAATGCCTCTCCCCCATGTGATATACTAGTTGTGTGTATATACTGACATGTATGTGTAACTGATAGATGCACAGACACACACACTACATGTTAATGTTATTAAATGTATGTATATTGTCTTGAAAAAAAGTATTTTATCTGTAATGTCTTTTTCGTTATGTGACGGACCCTCATCATCACGTTCTTTCAATAGCCAGCACCGCCTACTTAGCATGAGACATAAGAGACAGACCGCTCACAGTAGAGTGGCAGAAACATTATCTTCAGACATTTACTTTACATATGCCATTAATATATTTGATTATACACTATCAGTCAAGAGTTTTAGAACACCTACTCATTCCAGGGTTTTTCTTTATTTGTACTATTTTCTACATTGTAGAATAATAGTGAAGACATCAAAACTATTAAATAACACATATGGAATCATGTAGTAACAAAAAAAGTGTTAAACAAATCAAAATATGTTATATTTGAGATTCTTCAAATAGCCACCCTTCGCCTTGATGACCGCTTTGCACACTCTTGGCGTTCTCTCAACCAGCTTCACCTGGAATGCATTTCCAACAATCTTGAAGGAGTTCCCACATATGCTGAGCCCTTTTTGGCTGCTTTTCCTGCACTCTGCGCTCCGACTCATCCCAAACCATCTCAATTTGGTTGAGGTCGGGGGATTGTGGAGGTCAGGTCATCTGATGCTGTCACGCCCTGACATAGATCTCTAGTTGGTTTGGTCAGGGTGTGAATATCTATGTGTAGATCTATGTTATCTATTTCTATGTTGGCCGGGTGTGGTTCCCAATCAGAGGCAGCTGTCGATCGTTGTCTCTGATTGGGGATCATACTTAGGTAGCCATTTTGCCTACCTATGTTGTGGGATCTTGTTTCTGTTTGGCTTGTTGGATGGTTAGCCTTTTGAACTTCACGTTCTGTTGGATTTTGTTATTTTGTCTGTGTTTGTATAATAAACGACTATGTACGCATACCACGTTGCACCTTGGTCCAATCCTTTACACAACGAACGTGACAGAAGATCCCACCACCAAGCAGCGTGGCCAGGAGGAGACGACACCCTGGACACAGGTGGGGAAGACATTTTGGACATGGGAGGAGATATTAGCCGGTAAAGGACCCTGGGCGAAGGAGGAAGCCCAGGCAGGAGAGGATCAACAGCGACGCCGAAGTGCACAACGATGAAGGAGGCCCGAGAGGCAACCCCAAGACGAAGCAGCAGGAGGCCGTGAAAAGGCTGACTGTGGAGGAGGAGGAGGCCGCTATAGTAGAGGCCCTCCAAGACCTGCAGCTCAGCAGTCTGAGAGAGGAGACCACCACATTGCGGGGGCTGTTAGCTCAGACGGAGCAGGAGCTCTCCCTTCAGAGGGAGGCGCTACAGGAGGCTCACAGGGAGAAGGAGTCAGTGGATGCACGGAGAGAGGAGCTGGCTAGGCAACAGGAGGAACTGAGAGAGGAATTAACCCTAGAGAAAAAGAGAACGCAGTCCTTAGAGCAGAGGCTGGCGAAGCAAGGTTTCAGAGTAGAGCCAACTCTCCGCACTCATGTTAAGGAGCGTGGGACCATACAGGCACCCTGTTATGCTGTGATACGCACTGTATCTCCTGTGCGCATTCACAGCCCGGTGCGCTTGGTGCCCGCGCCCTGCTCTTGCCGGGCTAAAATGAGCGTTCAGCCAGGACGGGTTGTTCCTGCTCCTCGCACCAAACCAGTGGTGCGTGTCCCCAGCCTGGTACGGTCCCGTGCATGCTCCTCGCACCAAACCAGTGGTGCGTGTCGCCAGCCCGGTACGCCCCGTACCTGCACCCCGCACCAAACCAGTGGTGCGTGTCTCCAGTCCTGTACGTCCCGTACCTGCTCCCCGCACCAAACCAGTGGTGCGTGTGTCCAGTCCTGTACAGCTCGTACCTGCTCCTCGCACCAAACCAGTGGTGCGTGTCGCCAGCCCGGTACGCCCCGTACCTGCTCCCCGCACCAAACCAGTGGTGCGTGTCTCCAGTCTTGTACGGCCCGTACCTGCTCCCCGCACCAAACCAGTGGTGCGTGTCTCCAGTCTTGTACGGCCCGTACTTGCTCCTCGCACCAAACCAGTGGTGCTTGTCGCCAGCCCGGTACGGCCCGTACCTGCTCCTTGCACCAAACCAGTGGTGCGTGTACCCAGCCCGGTACGGTCCACTCCAGTGCCAGAGCAGTCCGCTCCACCGGTGCCTAGTCCAGCTCCGGTTAGCTGCTCCAGTCCAATGCCAGAGCAGTCCGCTCCACCGGTGCCCAGTCCAGCTCCGGTTAGCTGCTCCAGTCCAATGCCAAAGCAGGCCGCTCCACCGGTGCCCAGTCCAGCTCCGGTTAGCTGCTCCAGTCCCATGCCAGAGCAGTCCACTCCACCGGTGCCTAGTCCAGCCCCGGTCAGCTGCTCTAGTCCAGAGCAGTCCGCTCCACCGGGGTCCAGTTCAGCTCCGGTCAGCGGCTCCACTCCAGTGCCAGAGCAGTCCGCTCCACCGGTGCCTAGTCCGGGTCCGGTTGTCTACTCTCCCACACCAGGGTCCAGACAGGACTTGGTGCATCGCGGGAGGACTGCAGAGCCAGAACCAGACGTCAACCCCTCTTTAGGGTTGGGGCCTCCCACACCAGGGTCCAGACAGGGCTTGGTGCATCACGGGAGGATTGCCGGTCCAGGCCCAGACGTCAGCCCCTCTCCAGGGTCAGTGCCTCCCACACCAGGGTCCAGACAGGGCTTGGTGCATCGTGGGAGGACTGAGAGGGGAAGCATCGCGCCGGGGTCCAGACCGGACCAGGTGTGCAACGGGGAGCCAGAAAAGGAGAGGACAGTAAGGTTGACGTCGCGCCCGGAGCCGGAGCCGCCACCGAGGCTAAATGCCCACCCGGACCCTCCCCTAATGAGTCAGTTTTGCGGTCGGAGTCCGCACCTTTGGGGGGGGGGTACTGTCACACCCTGACATAGATCTTTAGTTGATTTGGTCAGGGTGTGAATATCTATGTGTAGATCTATGTTATCTATTTCTATGTTGGCCGAGTGGGGTTCCCAATCAGAGGCAGCTGTCGATCGTTGTCTCTGATTGGGGATCATACTTAGGTAGCCATTTTGCCTACCTATGTTGTGGGATCTTGTTTCTGTTTGGCTTGTTGGATGGTTAGCCTTTTGAACTTCACGTTCTGTTGGATTTTGTTATTTTGTCTGTGTTTATATAATAAACGACTATGTACGCATACCACGCTGCACCTTGGTCAAATCCTTTACACAACGAACGTGACAGATGCAGCACTCCATCACTCTCCTTCTTGGTAAAATAGCCCTTACACAGCCTAGAGGTGTGTTGGGACATTGTACTGTTGAAAAACAAATGATAGTCCCACTAAGCCCAAACCAGATGGGATGGCGTATCACTGCAGAATGCTGTGGTAGCCATGCTGGTTAAGTGTGCCTGGAATTCTAAGTAAATCACAGACAGTGTCACCAGCAAAGCACCGCCACACCATAACACCTCCTCCTCCATGCTATACAGTGAGAAATACACATGCAGAGATCATCCGTTCACCCACACCGCATCTCACAAAGACACGGCGGTTGGAACCAAAAATCTCCAATTTGGACTCCAGACCAAAGGACACATTTCCACCGGTCTAATGTCCATTGCTCGTGTTTCTTGGCCCAAGCAGGTCTCTTCTTATTATTGGTGTCCTTTAGCAGTGGTTTCTTTGCAGCAATTCGACCATGAAGGCCTGATTCACACAGTCTCCTCTGAACAGTTGATGTTGAGATGTGTCTGTTACTTGAACTCTGTGAAGCATTTATTTGGGCTGCAATTTCTGAGGCTGGTAACTCTAATGAACTTATCCTCTGAAGCAGAGGTAACTCTGGGTCTTCCATTCCTGTGGCGGTCCTCATGAGAGCCAGTATCATCATAGCGCTTGATGGTTTTTGCGACTGCACTTGAAGAAACTTTCAAAGTTCTTGAAATGTTCCGTATTGACTGACCTTCATGTCTTAAAGTAATGATGGACTGTCATTTCTCTTTGCTTATTTGAGCTGTTCTTGCCATAATATGGACTTGGCCTTTTATCAAATAGGGCTATCTTCTGTATATACCCCCCTACCTTATCAAAACACAACTGATTGGCTCAAATGCATTAAGAAGGAAAATAATTCCACAAATTAACTTTTAAGAAGGCACACCTGTTAATTGAAATTCCAGGTGACTACCTCATGAAGCTGGTTGAGAGAATGTCAAGAGTGTGCAAAGCTGTCATCAAGGCAAAGGGTGGCTATTTGAAGAATCTCAAATATAAAATACATTTTGTTTTGTTTAACACTTTTTTGGTTACTACATGATTCCATATGTGTTCTTTCATAGTTTTGATGTCTTCTACAATGTAGAAAATAGTACAAATAAAGATAAACCCTCGAATGAGTAGGTGTTCTAAAACGTTTGACCAGTAGTGTACAGTGGGGAGAACAAGTATTTGATACACTGCCGATTTTGCAGGTTTTCCTACTTACAAAGCATGTAGAGGTCTGTAATTTTTATCATAGGTACACTTCAACTGTGAGAGACGGAATCTAAAACAAAAATCCAGAAAATCACATTGTATGATTTTTAAGTAATTAATTTGCATTTTATTGCATGACATAAGTATTTGATCACCTACCAACCAGTAAGAATTCCAGCTCTCACAGACCTGTTAGTTTTTCTTTAAGAAGCCCTCCTGTTCTCCACTCATTACCTGTATTAACTGCACCTGTTTGAACTCGTTACCTATATAAAAGACACCTGTCCACACACTCAATCAAACAGACTCCAACCTCTCCACAATGGCCAAGACCAGAGAGCTGTGTAAGGACATCAGGGATAAAATTGTAGACCTGCACAAGGCTGGGATGGGCTACAGGACAATAGGCAAGCAGCTTGGTGAGAAGGCAACAACTGTTGGCGCAATTATTAGAAAATGGAAGAAGTTCAAGATGACGGTCAATCACCCTCGGTCTGGGGCTCCATGCAAGATCTCACCTCGTGGGGCATCAATGATCATGAGGAAGGTGAGGGATCAGCCCAGAACTACACGGCAGGACCTGGTCAATGACCTGAAGAGAGCTGGGACCACAGTCTCAAAGAAAACCATTAGTAACACACTACGCTGTCATGGATTAAAATCCTGCAGCGCACGCAAGGTCCCCCTGCTCAAGCCAGCGCATGTCCAGGCCCGTCTGAAGTTTGCCAATGGCCATCTGGATGATCCAGAGGAGGAATGGGAGAAGGTCATGTGGTCTGATGAGACAAAAATTGAGCTTTTTGGTCTAAACTCCACTCGCCGTGTTTGGAGGAAGAAGAAGGATGAGTACAACCCCAAGAACACCATCCCAACCATGAAGCATGGAGGTGGAAACATCATTCTTTGGGGATGCTTTTCTTTAAAGGGGACAGGACGACTGCACCGTATTGAGGGGAGGATGGATGGGGCCATGTATCGCGAGATCTTGGCCAACAACCTCCTTCCCTCAGTTAGAGCATTGAAGATGGGTCGTGGCTGGGTCTTCCAGCATGACAATGACCCGAAACACAAAGCCAGGGCAACTAAGGAGTGGCTCCGTAAGAAGCATCTCAAGGTCCTGGAGTGGCCTAGCCAGTCTCTAGACCTGAACCCAATAGAAAATCTTTGGAGGGAGCTGAAAGTCCGTATTGCACAGCGACAGCCCCGAAACCTGAAGGATCTGGAGAAGGTCTGTATGGAGGAGTGGGCCAAAATCCCTGCTGCAGTGTGTGCAAACCTGGTCAAGACCTACAGGAAACGTATGATCTCTGTAATTGCAAACAAAGGTTTCTGTACCAAATATTAAGTTCTGCTTTTCTGATGTATCAAATACTTATGTCATGCAATAAAATGCAAATTAATTACTTAAAAATCATACAATGTGATTTTCTGGATTTTTGTTTTAGATTCCGTCTCTCACAGTTGAAGTGTACCTATGATAAAAATGACAGACCTCTACATGCTTTGTAAGTAGGAAAACCTGCAAAATCGGCAGTGTATCAAATACTTGTTCTCCCCACTGTATATTCTATGATTTTTATTGATTATGTATTTATTTCCTTTTGTTTCCATTGAAGTCAATTTAGGGACGGGTGTTGAAAATTAGCGTGAGCTAGAAACACTATAGTGCAATGCATCGGACGATTGTTTGTTAAATGTGTCAAAGTGGTTGTACTTGTCCCAAATAAAATAAAATAATATACAGCTGTTTAATCGCATTCTGACTACTGTACTACAGTATAGGTTACAACAAAATAGTGTAGACTAATGTCAAAGATATGTTTTGCTGGGGATCTCCTAAATATACTGACATACACTGGGAAAGCAATCATAAAACAGACAAACCATACTGTACTAGGCAGCTGCTGATATTTTTCATTATGGCTAGGGGTCAATCCGACTTCTATGACAGTAAAGAAGCGACTTTGCCCTCAAACAAACTAACAAATTGGACCCAAGCAGCTCATCCTGTGTGGAGGATATTTGTTGTCATGGTGACTGAACCCACTGATCACTTGAGATGTGTCATTCCTGGAAGTGAGCTTTTGAATCTGCCGTTCTCCTCCAATAAAACGTTCAGTTCAGATGGAGAGGGCAGAAATGGAGATGGATACCATGTAATATGATATGTTAATCATGCAGGATATGACACCGAGGAGATGGACAGAGCGCTCTCTTGAAATTCATAGCTCTGTAACTGTGCAAGGCCATGGTATAAAACAACAAATAACAACTGATTCTGTGAGCTCAAAATCCCAGCCACCTTTTAGTGGTGCCATAAATGCCACTTGACATTTTTTTAAATGTCCATCCTACACCAAAGATAACTAGAATTTCTAGTAGGGGATGCTAGGTATAATGCATGTCTAATAGAATATACAAATATGTCTGGATATACTGTAACCTATGCAATAGTGAAATTGTGTTTTTCTGGTATAGCCTACATTAAATGATGTCATGCTGAATGAGGCACCTGAGAGAGAGAGAGAGAGAGAGAGAGAGAGAGAGAGAGAGAGAGAGAGAGAGAGAGAGAGAGAGAGAGGAGAGAGAGAAGGGGGGTGGTCTTACAGGTGTGCAGGCACTCTGTCACCGTGGTGGGCTTGATCAGGTACCCTTTACACACGTAGCATGTGATAAAGTGGTTGAAATCCTTGACCAGGTGCTTTCTCGGCGAGGTCATCTTGGACCAGAGCAGGAGTGGTGATGGGAGTGTTGTGTAAGGGGGGAAAGGAATGATGGGACGATGGGGGCTGGAAGTCAGAGTTCACAGGACTTTCTGCAATGCTCCACACTGCTGGGTTTTCCCCTTCAGTCGCTTCATCTTAATTCAGGTTTCCCCTCCAGGGAGGTATCAAGTGTGCTGCATTTTCATCTCTGTGGTTCTGTGGGTGTCTGTGAATTATAGTACAAAACAGTGTCATTCGGGTATATCCCATGCAACAGGTATGACATGGTTATGACATAAATATATCAACTTGATATTTAAAAAGGTGTTAAATAAATTAAATAAATTAAAATGCTAATTGCAAAGTTGCATTATTTCATGAAATAGAATAAACAAACATTTACCAAGACACTGCATCTTCTACATATTTGACCAAAACAAATGTCATGGATACAGGTGCATACGTGGGTTTCACCTTTATGCCCTGCCCCCTCAATGTTTTCTTAGAATCGAAAGCAACTTTAGTTCCTTCCAAAGGTTGTTATGACGTAAGTGTGTAACCCCTTAACTGTCAGAGTAATAGAATGGAAATAGTATTTTGAAATCCAACGTTTGGAGACTACTTTGGTTAGCATGTTCAAGCGGAATTACACAATGTATCGAGAACTATATGTACCCATTGCATTTGCAAGATATTTTCGCTGCAGGATCATTACGCTTAATTGCATGATCCCAACGTTGGTTACAATAACAGTTTAGAGTTCAGGCATTGTAGGCTATGACTAGAATATTCTGAGAGGAAATGTCATATTATATAATTGTCACAGATTTGATTGGGGAAAAAACGTCAATACGCAGCAAGGAAATACATCGAGGATGGTCCCCTTTACAGTGACAGAATTGTGTCTTATGTCCCTCTCATCATCACCGGGAAATCATACGCGTCATTCTTTGCGTCACCCACGGTATTGCGCGAACAACATTATGGATGGTGAGTTTGACATAGTAGGCTACATACCCTGAAAAACGGACTTAAGATTTAAGTTGCTGCCATTGAAGTCCTGTAGCCTATCTGTGGGGACCGTACACAGCTACGTCGATCATTAAGATAGGAAATAAACTAGCGCCACCGCACACACTTGACTATGACCAAAACGCACATGTCCAGAACTTGATAGCCCATACGACACATTATCGCATTCCCAACCCACCCCAAACTTTACTATCACAGCAGCTACGGGAAAAGGAAACGAACAAGCATCGCTTGCTCGGCTTCTGAGTAGCGAGTAGTAGACGCATCTCTTACCTTCCAGTTCAAGGCTCCATGTTCGAGATGGTGTTGTCTTATCCGACAATTATACAACCTATACGCTGTATGGTGTGCGCCCCGACGTTACATTAAAGTAGCGCTGAATACGGAACTGGTTTCAGAATATAGGCTAGATGATATGAGAGAGCGGCGGAGGAGGATCCAGCGCGTGTTTACGTATTGCTGCTTTATTTTCGTTCCACGACAGATACACTCTGATTGGACACAAACTAGGGCGCAGCCTTCAATTAACAACTACTGTAGTCCAGTAAAATGTAGTCTATAATATGATAAACGCAACCCACTGGGCACACAACGTCAATTCAACATAGAAACGTGGGTAATATTTGGTTGAGAAGTTGATCAATGAGATTTCAACCTTTATTCACGACTGTTGAATTCCCAATGTGTTATCACTATGCTTTCAAGAGTCTAAAAGTACAACCAAATTCCAAACAATGTCTGATTTTTGGTTTAGTATAAATGTGTTATCACTGCGCTTTCAACCTTTTAAAAGATAAGAAAGTCCAAATCGGAATTCAATGTCAGATATTTTGTATTTATACACGAATGTAATGTGTTATCACTGTATTGGAGTTGAGATTACATTAAAATTACATAGTGCAAGTGATCAATGCTGTTCAAGATTCTGCACAGATTATTATACTGTAGCAATATTGTGAAGATCTCCACAGACCTGCGATCTTCAACATGCAAGCATTCTATGATGACATAAGAAGACATTTATAGTTACGGTAACCTCAAAATGGGGCCATGGATGTGTTACTCATTTTAAGGTTGAATAAATAATGTTATATTAGTTTGTTAGATAGCCTTAACTTTAGGCTATTTAATGTATTACAAAAGTAATATTGAATTGTGTTTGGTTGTCAACGCAACCAAATATCAACATTTAAAGGAGAAGTATCTTTTGTGCCACTGACTATGTCTGGCTTTAATTCCAGTTTGTCTACAAATTAATCATTGATATGTTGGATTCACGTCTCCATCGCAACCAAAACTCTTAAGTTATTTAAAGTCCATTTAAAGTTTGATATTATTTAGTCATATTCTTTAACTTAGATGTTTGGTTGAGATGAAGAACGTGAATCCAACATAGAAATGATTGATTTGTAGACTAACTGGAATTAAAGCCAGACTAAGTCAGTGGCACAAAATATACATCTCCTTAAATGTTGATATCTGGTTGCGTTGACAACCAACACAATTCAACATCCAGTTTGTCTACAAATGAACAATTGATGTTGGATTCACGTCTCCACCTCAACCAAAAATCTAAGTTAAAGATGCACTATGCAGAAATAGCTCCGCCATTTCCTCGTTGCAAAAATTCTATGTGAATGTGAATTTGGTCGGGTTTCCCAAAAAGTTACATATTGTGACTTTAATAGAACTAAATCAAATTTTAAATAAAGTTGGATTTGATTTAGTCCTATTCCTTAACTTTGATCTTTGGTTGAGATGGAGACATGAATTCAACATATTAATTATTTACATTTTTGTCATTTAGCAGACGCTCTTATCCAGAGCGACTTACCGTTAGTGAGTGCATACATTTTCATACTACCCCCCCCCCGTGGGAATCGAACCCACAACCCTGGCGTTGCAAACGCCATGCTCTACCAACTGAGCTACACGGGGGACTATTATTATAATAACTATTAACTTGAAGATTACATTTGAATTCAACCAAAGCTTAAAACCATAGGCCTATATGTTTTGTATATGTTTTGTTCAACCCTGGGTTGAATTGAAACAATAGCTGTTGATGACTTCACAAAATTATGCTATATAGGCCTAAATAGTATCATTGATGATATATGACTTATAAGTATGGTTACATTTCATGTGCTCTGTTAAACCCTTTGGAATGACTTCGATAGCAACAGTGAATTTATTTAGTTATTAAGAGATGCCTCAATAATCATTCTCACGATAGCAAATTGGTAGTAGTCAGTGACAAATATCAAAGCTGAGCTTGGTTAAAACCCTGAATGGGAGACCAAATGGAGAGCTGTAGATAGATCAACTCTCCAGTATGAGGTGCTGTCCAGCCTATTGTATTTTCTTCTGATAGTGGATATAACATTGAAGATCTGACGTTGTTTCAAAAGTACAAATTCAACATATTTTATACAAGGTTTGTCTATGTTCAAACTGTAACTAGTGCCTGCAACCTGGTTCAGGTTATCAGTCAACCTACCAGGGTAGTTACAAACAGCACATGAAATCATCAACATGTATTGATCACATCTTTACTAATGCTGCAGAAAGTTGCTTTAAAGCAGTATCCAAATCCATCAGATGTAGTGATCACAAAATAGTAGCCATATCTAGGAAAACCAAAGTTCCAAAGGCTGGGCCTAATATAGTGTATAAGAGGTCATACAATAAGTTTTGTAGTGATTCCTATGTTGTTGATGTAAATAATATTTGTTGGTCTGTAGTGTATAATGAGGAGCAACCAGATGCTGCACTTGACACATTTATGAAATTGCTGATTCCAGTTACTAATAAGCATGCACCTATTAAGAAAATTACTGTAAAAACTGTTAAATCCCTGTGGATTGATGAGGAATTGAAAAATGGTATGGTTGATAGGGATGAGGCAAAAGGAATGGCAAATAAGTCTGGCTCCACAACCAATTGGCATACATACTGCATATTGAGAAATCATGTGACTAAATTGAATAAAAAGAAGAAGAAACTATACAATGAAACAAAGATAAATTACATAAAGAATGATTATAAAAAAGCTTTGGAGCACCTTAAATTACATTTTGGGCAAAAAGGCAAACAGCTCCATCATTCATTGAATCAGATGGCTCATTCATCACAAAACCCACTGATATTGCCAATTACTTTAATAATTTTTTCATTGGCAAGATTAGCAAATTTAGGCATGACATGCCAGCAACAAACGCTGACACTACACATCCAAGTATAACTGATCAAATTATGAAAGACAAGTATTGTAATTTTGAATTCTGTAAAGTGAGTGTGGAAGAAGATAAAATAATATTGTTGTCTATCAACATTGACAAGCCACCGGGGCCTGACAACTTGGATGGAAAACTACTGAGGATAATAGCGGACGATATTGCCACCCCTATTTGCCATATCTTCAATCTAAGCCTACTAGAAAGTCTGTGCCCTCAGGCCTGGAGGGAAGCTAAAGTAATTCCGCTACCCAAGAATACTAAAGCCCCTTTTACTGGCTCAAATAGCCGACTAATCAGCCTGTTACCAACCCTTAGTAAACGTTTTGAAAAAATGGTGTTTGACCAGTTACAATGCTATTTTACTGTAAACAAATTGACAACAGACTTTCAGCACGCTTATAGGGAAGGACATTCAACAAGAACGGCACTTACACAAATGACTGATGATTGGCTGAGAGAAATTGATGATCAAAAGATTGTGGGAGCTGTTTTGTTAGACTTCAGTGCGGCTTTTTACATTATCGATCATATTCTGCTGATGGAAAAACGTATGTGTTATGGCTTTACACCCCCTGCTATATTGTGGATAAAGAGTTACCTGTCTAACAGAACACAGAGGGTGCTCTTTAATGGACGCCTCTCCAACATAATCCAGGTAGAATCAAAAATTTCCCAGGGCAGCTGTCTAGGCCCCTTACTTTTTAAATCTTTACGAATGACATGCCACTGGCCTTGAGTAAAGC